ACTGCCTTTGTTACGATGGACGAAGAATCCCTTATTTTCTATTGGACAGACTCGAATAGTGACTTTGGAAACGTTGAGGTCGATGGATATTCCACGAGACGTGTAAATACAACGGCTCATACAGTATCAAGTCAACGACTTATTAAATAAACGAGTGTTCAAGTCCTTCACGGCGAACTAATTTGAGTAATCATTGTGACAGACAAATCGGTTTGCACTTATTGCCTCAGGCCTGAAGATAAAAAAATATCTCCTTAGTTTTCTCACTATAAAAGGCTTATCTACTGTAAGAAGGATCCATCAATTCTAACTGCCAGGTGATACAGCGGCTGCGCGGATTGTCACACGATTTTCATTTCAACTACAAGATGGCGTTTCAAGTATATGGTCAAGCGGATGAGCATACGTCGAAATAAATTACGCAAATATCATTCGACTGGGATTGTCTTACATAAGCTTACTTCGTAGGAAGTGACTGAATATGCATGTGCTTCAGACCCAGGTATAAGAAATTAATGGGCTCCGTTAGTCGATAGTCTCTGGGATTTACTGCGAAGGGAATAACTCCAAAAGAGCAAACTGAGGGTTCGAAGATAAGAAATTCTTTTCCAGCGGAGCGCACATTGATCTCGGTTTGCACTCCACAAACGACTACATTTGTGGCTGGGAAAGTGGTTAGGTGACTGGATAACCCGGCCTTGGGGTCAGTGTTGTGCATGTGAAAGGGGGGTGCTGGTTCGAAGACTAAGAGTCAGTCTCAATGGCCTCTTTCTGATGAACGAGATCCGATGCTCCCTCTGTCCGTGAAAACCTGGCACGTTTTGCTTTGACCAGGTCCAAACTGCTACCCACTTAAATTTTAGGTGTAGGCTGCGACCAGGTGGTTATGCTCCAAGACGGTATCCCAGGTTACTTCAGACGGGTTTCGGGAAGAAGGGATATCTTAGGAAGAGAGGTTACCGGTTAACTGCTGGATACCTGGCATGTCCACAGGTGGCGAATAGTGGAACGACCTTCAGCGAGGGTTAGTTGTCGAATAAGCAGGGTCTGGTGGATAGGCGGTCACGGACCGGCAACGACAATGTTACCAGAGGGCGGGAAGTCTGGCGCATGACCTGCCATGTAAAATTCCGCAAGTCCCAATGACGAAACTGTGACATACGACCGCGAACCGCCACTAAATTGGTTTTCTTGTCACCGTTGCCTCGTGGTTAGGTTCTTAAACCAAAGTACTAGAGGACACAACCTCGAACAAGCAACCCGAGTGGCTGTTGGGGACGCACGTGCATTCCAAATCTCCAAGAACCCTCGTGAAAATGTCTACTTGTTTATTATGCCCAAAGTTACGGCTTCCGCGGAAGGCGACGCGCTCCGCAACCCTTATCCAGTGGTGTGGACGATTAGTATGCGAACTGGACTAATCAACTGGAAACGGACTATTTGTAATGGATGCTGGAATTTAATTCTGGATCCGTGTACACAAAGTCACACGGCATGTGGTCTTCATCAATACCACGTGGATATTTGCTGTCTGTCCGGCGTCCGTAACTTCGACTCAGGTGCCTGGGAAATAAAAATCCCAGGGGTTTATTCCCACTGTTCGCTGTATCACAGGATCCCACATGATTCTTCTGGTAGACACGGTGTGCCTTCTCGTAACAAATAAGCTATGCCTTAGTAGCATGGGAACCAGGCAATGGCCGGATAACTTACGTTGGACGGAAGGGCCATTTTACGAACATCTCTCTAGTCTCTTTGTGTGCACCAACATTCGCAGCCGAACAGCGAGATAAGAGGACCATCTACTCACAGCTGCAGGAGCATGTTGGAAGACTTCCTCGCCGTGATCTGTCGGTTACTGCACCTGCCTGGAATGGTCAAACTGGATCCGATGACTCATCAAACGGTGCTCATACTGGTTGTTTTGGAATTGTTTCTCGATCCAACCCTGGTGAGAGAATGCTTCATTTTGCTGATCAGAACCGACTGTCATCAACACATGTTTTCAGCACCGTTCCAAACATCTGCTGACCTCGCACTCAAACGACAGCAAGACTACCAGTCAGGTCGATTACATTGTAGCTAGTTCAAGGTTCTGCAGTTGGATCAACGATAGTAGGTCGACGCATGATGCGGAAACTGGAAATGCCCATTAGTCTGACCATGTTGTCGTTCGCACGCGTCTGAAGGTTCACCTCTCATCTGGGTCCAGAATTTCACTTGTGAGACGTCTTGATGTCGCAACACTCAGGTAGCCCAGCGCGACCGAAGTCCCAAACACAAACATCCAGTCCCGTTTTACGACGCGAGCCGACAGCAAAAGCAGTAGCAGGTGGTCATCACTGGAGACATCCGTCTATGGGGTGACTGAGAATATTGTTAGATTCACTTAGCGGCGCCGCAGTGACTGGATCAGCGGTAGAACCCTGCCCACGTCTGCCCAGATGGTTCGAGCCAGACCCCGTGACAATGCTTCCTTCGGTCAACTCCAAAAGCTGACAGCAAAGTCGGCTAAAGATGGACAGCAGAAGTATTAATCTGAAACAGCGACTTCCGTGGAACAGGCCCCAAATATTTGTGACACTCTAAAACAGTACCAAATAATCCACCAAGTTAGTGATAAGCTCTGGACACTTTGTGATTCTGTTCACGATATGAATGACGGCTTCATTGCCGAAAACTCGGCCAGGGTCGATCACTGGCCTGAGAACTTCGAGCACCTCCCTACCTTTGATAAGCAACCCATCACACCCTCCCTCTGCTCCGCAGCTGTTTGTCCTCCCTCTCCAGCCATCTGCAGTGTCGTGCGACCTCCCTTCCGAGGACAACACTGCCGATGCAACGCAGAAGCTGCGTGACGGCAAGGCGCCCGGGGAGCACGGTATTTCCGCTTAAATCAACAAATCTTGTATTCAAACACTGGCGCTCTGGCTCTATAAGGTGATCAAGCTAGTGTGGAGAACGGCAGTAGTTCAGAAGAAGGAGAAGAAACGATCACTGGAACAAGAGGTTTATTGTCCTGAAGTTTCGGATTCCCTCGGGA